GCTCTACCCACCAAAAAACCGGCGCGGAAACTGGGAGGAAGAAAAAAGATTCCTGCCTGCCATATTGGTATCCAGTCACATAATTTTGTCATGAATTTGGCATCAGCACCTTTAAATGTATAACTCCATACTGTATTGCATGATGAGGCCTTCTAAGATCTCCCAAGGTAAAATGCCCCAGATACAAAACAGAATAATCCTTTATGTTAGATTGGAATAAAAATGTAAGTGAAATGCTGATTAACAGCCCACTGAAAAGCTGTAGATTGTTCGTTTGTTGCTGTTTTTACATAAACATTTTATAATTCCTTTCTAGCAAATGCTCTGCTTCAGCATTGCACATGGATTTGTCTATCTTGGCAAAGAACATTTGCAGATCTAGAATTTTCTCTCAGCATCCAGCTATGCTGATTAGGGATTTTTTTGTTCCTTTGAAAGAATATTTTAGGGCCTTTTCATAAGCCAATCTTCCCACTCGAAGCCAAACAAAAGGAAGCCACTGCAATGCTGCCTTTAAAGAGTAGCTTGCTGGGCAGATGAAATTATGTACAGTTTGAAGATAATTGTTAGTATTTGTTTATAACAATTACACTCATGCTGAACATAATTTCATCTCCAGATTCATTCACATCAAGCTGCTAATCAAACTCTTCTTCCCCTAATCTGTTGGTAGTGTGACTTAAAAACATTTATGGGCATGCTATTGCTATGTCATCCAACTATAGTTTTGTTTTGTTTTTTTTAAATTTCAGTTTAAATGGTTTTTCATCCAGAATAAATGCAAACTATGTGTTCCTTTTACGGGCAAGTTGCAAGGTATAATTTTATGTTGAATATATTTAAGGCAGTAAATGCAGGTTTAAATTTTAAAATACAAAAGAAAGAGAAAGAGAATCTCCTCATAAATATAATGAAATATCATAACTCATGACTCCAAATGTCTCATAAGGAGAATAAAAAGGGAAATGACCAGTAATAAGACAATGAAAAGATACTACTTGCATTTATATATATACAGTATTATACTTTGATGGTTTTCTAAAGAGGAACTTTTTACAATAAAATATTTTCTGGTCATAAAATAGAAATAATTTAATTCTTTATGTTCATTCCCATAGAAGATAACTACCTATAAAGTTTGTGAGATCTTCTTATCAAATTATTACTGTATGTCCAAACTTTTATGACTGAGGACTTATCCTTATGTCCTCCTAACTGCAGCATGAATATACCCAGTAACCTTTTTATGTAACATTTCTTCATGACACCCTTTTCAACTCATCCCCAGCCCACACCTTAAATTTGTCTTTTGCTATGCTAGTTTAATAGGAATACTTTTCCTCTTCTCCTGACAGAAATTTTGCTGTGACGTGATCTAAGGCACTTCAACAACAATATGGGTCATGTTGGGGTCAGGGCCTGGGATCTGCCCAGCTCCTAGTGGGCTCTTTAGGGCAGTGTGGGCATTCCCCCTCCCTCCACTGGTTTCTGGGCACTGCACATTGTGACTATTTTGGCATGTACTGCAGGAGAAACTGAACTTCTGGCTTCTGCAGAGGCATCTGTCTATACATAATGGCTAATTTGTGCTTTCCATAAACTTTATCAGGTCATATACAGGCTCCTTATAAACATGGGTTTAGTACTCTTTTGAAAGAGTGCTAAATTTGCATTAAAAAACATAGAAAACCCTAATCTTTTGCTGTACAAGTTGGATTTAAACCGGGAAAGATAACCAGATCCTGTGTTGCTGGCTTTGTCACCCATATATTATAGGTTTTCCATTACTTCTGCCACAAGAAGTTTTATGTGACCAGTTTCTACTAGGAAGAAGGGGTGCATTTTGCCTACACCACATTCTGCATTGTAGATGGTGTCGGCCATCACCACTCAGTACCTGTATTGCCATTCTTCATAGCACTGGCTAAGAAAGGCATTCATTTGTTACCAATCATTCCTTTCAGCTTTACCTAGCATACTTCCTCCACGCTGGTTAGCTCAACCGACATGTCACAGACACAAAGAAATGTAGGATGAAGTGTGAGGGAACAGGAGAGAATATCCCCAATGCTCCTTAGAACCTCCCCACACCTAGGACATGCAAGTTAGACTATTTTTGAAGATGGGAATTGTGCTCTTTAAAAGAGTGCTAAACCATGTGCAAAAATAGTCTGGTTGACAGTTCGCCTGCAACCTGTCAGCTGTACTATTCTTTTCACATGGGTTTCATATTATTTCAAAAGAGCACTAGATCTGTGTTCAGAAATATCAATATCAAATATCACCGCTATCAAGTGACCAGTTAGTTGGGCAGCAGACGGCTAAACCAACCATTCAAAGCACCATAATTTCAATTTCGTTAAAGGCCAAAATAATACAAGACCTTGAAAAATTGTGCTTATATTCTGATACATTGATTTGCTACCATATTTTCCACTCAAGCTATGTGGCTCTCCACAGGCAGCTGCAGAAACACAGCAACCCTTTCCATCTGGATCAGTTTCAAAACTGTATTTTCTTTTAATTTTAATTTATAACTATGGTATCGGTCATCACTTTCAGGATTCCACACTCATAGCCTTTTATACACCGTCAACATATTAGATCTGGAACGTTCAGCATGCTGAGAAAAAGAACAAATTTTACACATTACCCAATGCAATTCAATCCAAACCTTTTCAGTCCACAAGCTTCCATTAGGGGAAAATGAAAGAAAACGAACTAGTTACTGGGTTTTCTTCTTACAAGTGCACCAAGTTAGTTCACAACTGACACATTTTTATACTGCACTGTAATATGATCTCTTGGGAAGAAAAAAAATATAAACACAATCTGCTGCATAACTCTCACTGTCCCTTGAGGAACATAGCATGTAAGAAAGACTTCCTGCTGCTCAGAACAGTATTAGATTGGTAACCAGATCTGCCAGAAACTGATGTGTCTTCCACACCTTAAAAAATAAATACTGTTGTTACAACTGAAAGAGCTATTTGATCTGCACAACTGTTTTGAGTTAAAAGTTTTAGTTAAATATTTTATGTTGAAGTTATAAATTAAATCACTCAATGTTACCAGTAAACAGAATAAGCATTATTCAGTTATGGCTTCCTTATCATTTGTATTCTGTGCCTACTCTGACAGTTAAGAATGGGTATGACTAAATGATCCTTGAATCTTTATAATGCAAAATGGATATACATTAATGATCTTAGTTAAGAAAATGCAGATGGTACTAATTAGGGTATAATTACTAGTTTAAAATAATGATGATAACAACATTGATTGATGAAGAGTTCTTTCTTACCAACTTGAAAATGTATAAACTTTTGTGCAAGCCTTGGATTTAATATAAGAATAACCTTTGTATGGATTCTGGAAGAACTATTCTTTATTTTTTAGTTAGCTTTCTTGAAGGAGGAAAAGAAAACCTTATTTTATTACTCAGTGCTACTAAACCATCTGCCCTGTATGTGTGTGTCTGTCACTTCTGTTAAAGATTGATATAGTTTTATTGATGTTTTTGTGACCCTTTTCTTCTTAAATTTATTATTTATTTATTTATTGGATTTCTCCACCGCCCATCTCCCCCACAATA